AGCCCCCATCCACGCCGCACGTAGCGGCGCGGGAGATGCGCTCGTCGATGAGTTTAATCGCGTTTGGCACATGCCAACAAGTCTGACATCTACCGCTGCTAAATCTTCCAATCGGAAGAACACAGTATTGCTAATCGTCTAGTTTAGCTCCCTTCCGCGCCATGCTCAGCGACACGGGGGATACGGTCGGCGCTGAGGCATAGTCACAGAAACAGGTCCGCAATTAACATATCGCTGAGACCCTGTTAGAGCATTTGTTTCGCTATACGGAGCAATACTGCAGACGATAATAGCGACCGTTGACAATTTCAAGCTTTTTTGCAGATGATACTAGCAGACGATAATAGCGACCATTGACAATTTCGAGACACGCAACATTACAGACAATGATGATAATAGCCACATGGCGGGGAGACCACTCGTTCCAACGCAAATTAGCGTCGTTGTTGTCCTCACACAAAACGCGGTTAAACTCACAGTCGACAGTATCCGCTGCGTGCGGCATGGATGGGGATCTAAACTAGATGCCTGGGACTCACGAGCAAATAAATTAGAGGAAGTTGCAGGAGATGCAGTAGCTGCTGCTCGTGAGTCCTGGCCATCTAGTTTAGCCCCCATCCGCGCAGCGCGGGGGATACTGTCGGCGGTCGCAGAAACAGGTCCGCAATTAACACATCGCTGAGACCCTGTTAGAGCATTTGTTTCGTTATTCGGAGCCGATCCTAGTTTTGCCATTATTTGTGCCTTGGCAGAAAGTTCCATTTTACACACAACTGAGGCCCTGTTAGGCTATTTGCTTGGCTGCCATAATATTGGGTAGAAGTTCGGAGGAGAGACGATATTTATATTAACGTCTTCACCGCCCCAGAAAGAGAGTGACTTCCCTTCCCATTCATGCCTCATCATGTCGCAGGTCCTGTATTACAGGGGTGTCACGCTTAGTGAGCGGCCAGCAGCACATTGTATTTTACTAATTGTTGTCAACAGCAGTCGGCGATATCGCATGTTCTATTCTGTATTCCAGGACGTGAGCGCTTTTAGAAGCCCTAAAACCCCAACCCCACAGCCTCAGCCTACATCCCACAACTACATGCAGCCTAGGTAGCATGACTATTTACTGTGTAAATATTATAGGCTGAATGCAGTCATGGAACATAGGCTGCACTCTCTCGTGGGACCTAGATTGCATTCTCTCGTAGAATGTCGGTTGTGGGATTGGGGCTAGGGCCATTAAAAGTGCTCACATATCGATGGCCGCTGACAACAATGAGTAAAATATGATGTGTTGCTGGCCGCTCACTAAGCGCGACACCCCCACAACATAGAGAAGGCCCTGCAACATGATGGGAAAGGAAGTCACTCTCTTACTGGGACGAAAAACGTGACAAGTACTAGCTATATAAAAAAAATTGTAAAAAGCCTGCCGTCACCACCCCCACCCCCATCTCTGGTTCAAATACCACTTAACTCTTTGAAACAGCTGAAGTGCATAAGCTCTACGCTGGTCCAAAGGTTTTATGTTTGGATCCCCACCAAAACCTGTTTTTAATAATTGACTTTGTTGGCTTCCAGGGTAGGAGCCTGTCTTACTACTAGATATAGAGGTTGGCCATGAATATATTGAATAAGTAGCCGTGGACTAAAACAGGTGATGGACATTGGGTGGGTACCGGATGCAGTACCGGGAAAGTAAAGGCGGCCAGCGTGATGCTGACCACATCACCCATCTTGCGCCAATTGGTCTATAAAAATATAGGTCTAGCCCTATACGCCTAAAGGCGTGGAAAAGGGTCCTTTACTTTTACTATTGGAGTCAAACCATATACAAACCGGCGGAAGGCAAGGGGAACCCGTCGCTGTACTATCCTCAGTAAATCATGCCTCAAAATAATATGAATTCAGACAACGACGTGAATGGAGATTCCAGTGGAATCACCTCGTCAGGTAGGGAGCATCATGTTCTACGGGTGATACCCGACCGTCATCCAGCTACTGTAGAAAAAGTAAATGGTAGAAACATCCTGAACATTGGTACATGGAATATCAGAACACTCGTACAAAACAGAAAGTTGGATAACATCAAGATGGAAATGAAGAGAATGAACATTAACATATTAGGAATTAGTGAAATGCGATGGCCAGGAGCAGGGAAAAAGTAGTAAGATCAGCACATAATTATTTACTCTGGTGGGAAGGAATATAGTAAGGGAATTGGTATTATTTTGGATCAAAAGAACTCAAAAACTGAAAGGATTTTGGACAATATCAGATAGAGTACTATTAGTAAAACTTCGCGGCAGACCGTTTGACATCAACTTAGTACAGATTTACGCCCCAACAGCAGATAGTTCAGAGGAAGATATTGGCGCGTTTTATGACGAGTTAGACATGGCTGTTGATCAATGCAAAAATTTTGAAGTAACAGTTGTACTTGGAGATTTCAACGCGAAAATAGGAAGTGAAAAAGTGTACGGAATAACAGGTGGCTACGGCCTGGGAGAAAAGAATGTGAGAGGTGACAGATTAATAGCATGGGCTGAGTCGTGCAGCATGATAATAGGTAACACCTAGTTTAAACACCATCCTCGAAGATTGTGGACTTGGAAAAGTCCTGGTGATAATGTCCGCAATCAGATTGATTATATTTTGATTTAAAGACGATTCCGGAGCAGCTTAGTTGGAGCAAAAACTAGACCAAGAGCAGACTGCTTTAGTGACCATGTTCCAGTTGTAGGAAAAATAAAACTAAAGAACATTAGAAAAACACCACAGAACATCAAGTTACATTTAGGAATTCTTAGAACGGATATAGAAATTAAGGAACAGTACAATGTCACTGTACAAAACCGGTATAATGCAATGGAAATTATACAGACTATTGATGAACAGTGGGTTATGTTGCGTGAGTCAATTCAGCAGACATCAAAAGAGACAATCCCACCAACCCATAGAGTTGCAAAAAAGAAATGGATGTCAACCGAAATTCTGCAGTTGATGGATGAAAGAAGGAAGAAAAAGAATGATAAAGAAAAAAACTCTAGAATACAAAAAGAAATAGTGAACAAATGCAAAGTGGCTAAAGAAGCCTGACTGAATCAAATGTGTACAGAGATTGGGGAAAATCACAGGAAAGACTCACATTTCATGTACCTGCAGATAAATATGTTAACAGGAAAGTTGACACATAACAGCACTGGATGTTTAAAATCAAAAGATGGTGACTTATTAATGGAACATAGTAATATAATTAACAGATGGACAGAGTATATAGGGGAATTGTATGATGATAATAGACCAGATGTAGAACTGCAGACCAACAATGATGGTTCACCAATAATGACTGCAGAAGTTGAGGATGCAATACATCATATGAAGAAAGGAAAAGCACCCGGGCCAGACAACATCTCACTGGAAGAAATCAAAGCACTGGAAGATTTTGGAATTGAAATAATATCGAAACTTTTAAATGATGTTTATAATAGGGGGTATATTTCAAATGACCTTTTAAAATCCATATTTATAGCTCTGCCAAAGAAACCAGGCACTTTAAAATGTGAAGACCATCCTACAATAAGTCTTATGAGTCACATGACTAAGATTTTACTGAGAATAATTATGAGAAGAATAAGAAACAAAATTAAACCAGAAATCAGCGATGAACAATGTGGATTTGTAGAAGGAAAAGGTACAAACAATGCCATATACATCCTAAAGACATTGTCAGAAAGAGCTATAGAAGTAAAGACTGTACTTGTGCTTCATAGATTATACAAAAGCATTTGACTGATTGAAGCATAGAGAAGTAATCAAATTGTTAGAAAAATTAAACATTGATGGGAAAGATCTACGAATAATAAAGAATATGTATTGGTAGCAAACAACAGCTATGAGAATTAACAACTGTTTAGGTACATTTCAAAGCATAAAGAGGGGCGTACGACAAGGATGTGTACTGTCACCTGATTTGTTTTCAATATACAGTGAATATATAATGAGATCTTTAATTGATATGTTGGTGGACATAATATAAACAGTTTACGTTATGCTGATGACAAAGTCTTGATAGCAACAAGTCAGAAAGAACTACAGGAAACGATAGACATTGTGGTGTTAAAAAGTGGAAGAATGGGCCTCATTTTGAATAATGGAAAGACAGAAGTAATGGTGGTATCAAAGAAACAAATTATTCCTAAATGTGTAATAAAAGTCGATGGTGTTATTTTAGGACAAGTACAGAAATTTAAGTATCTGGGCACATGGATAACATCAGATGGAAGATGCATAACTGAGATAAGAAACAGAATAGGACAGGCAAAAACTGCATTTTATAAAATGAAAAACATCTTGTGCAATATATCCTTGTCATTGAGAGTTAGAAAAAGAATTCTTGCTTGCTACATACATCCAGTTTTAACATACGGCTGTGAATCCTGGACAATCGGTAGGCAGGCCAAACAATTTCTTGAGACCTCAGAGATGTGGTTTTACAGAAAAATGTTTAGAATTCTTTGGACAGCCAGAAAGAGCAACAAAGAGGTTTAAAAGAAGTAGGAGCCTGAAGACAACTTATCACAGACATCAGAAGTAGACAGTCATCATTTTTCGGCCATGTTATGAGAAGAGGGAAAATCGAACACGTTGTGACCACTGGAAAGATCTGTGGAAGGAGGGATAGAGGACGACAACTAGAGAAGATGCTTGACAGTCTTGTTGCATGGCATGGAGGTGTGTCGGCACATGGACTGATACATGCTGCAGGAGATCGCAGATTATGGAGAGGCATGATGGCTTCCAGGTCAACCTAGTTAAACATGGGTACTAAGAATTACCTAGGAAGTAAAAGTGGGCAGAGTGAATGTGACCACAACACCCATCGTGTACCATTTGTCTATAAAATGGGAATCCAGCATCAAATGTTCAATGTGCCAATGGTATGGAAAGTTTTTTTTTTTAAACTAAATACTGTAATATTTATTTTGCAATGCATTTTTGCTTTACAGATGGCAGCTTCGGAATTTGCAAAGCGTCAGCTGGAAAAGCATGGATGGACAGAAGGCAAGAAATGTTGGAATGTTATGTTGTGACTCATTTCATTCTGATACACATTTCCTAGATCCATGTTCTTTGGCCTGCGATTGACTCATTTAATTTTGATACACATTTCCTAGATCCATGTTCTTTAGCCTGCGATTGATTCATTTCATTTTGATACATGTTTCCTAGATCCATGTTCTTTAGCCTGCGATTGATTCATTTAATTTTGATACATGTTTCCTAGATCCATGTTCTTTAGCCTGTGATTGACTCAATTTATTTTGATACATGTTTCCTAGATCCATGTTCTTTAGCCTGTGATTGACTCAATTTATTTTGATACATGTTTCCTAGATCCATGTTCTTTAGCCTGTGATATCTTATCTTGAGTTTCCTAAACCCACTCTTTAGCCTGGAATCAGCCAAAAATCCACACCTAATCATATGGACTGAATAATTCAGACACTACATTGCTACTGGGAAGTGAAATCAATTTCCTAAATTTTATAAGGCTGTCAGATTGTTAGTTTCTTTTCAACTTTCCATTTGTGTGAAGACTTTCGGTCATGTCAGTAATAATAAAACTCCACAGGAGAGCATACAGAGCAGGAGTCTACTGGTCATCAGTAGAAGATCATCTGCCGACAATGGTTTCGGCCCGTTAGCATCCGAAACAATCTCTGAATCGGACACGTACGGATGATTCGAAGGTGATTTAACACCTACTGGTGAGATTTGGTTCTTTGTCGGTGATGTATTGTCGCCGTGGTAGCAAATTGGTCGCCTACCTTCACGGTCGAGTGACAAGCAAGATTTGTTGCACGCCGCGTCACCCCATATAGTATGCGTATACCGTGGTTTGAGCAGGCTGTTGTGCTATGGTCGGACATGTGTTATTTGGACTTAGCAGTTGATGGAGGGACACTTGGGACTTTGTCTTTTTGGAGGAATGTTAAGTTCTTTCCTACTAGGGGCCCTGACCAACCCGCCCCCCCCCCCCCCCCCCAAATGTTTCATTGTGTCCAGAGTCAGCTCAAAGCTCTCTCAGCAGCTTCAACATGTTCTGTCTCTTGCCTTGATGTACACACTCAGACTTGATGTTATACCCCAACTTGTATCTCTGTCTGCCATTTGCTCGCTTGCCGCCAACTTTTCCCTCCAGTATGACATTTATCATCATCATCATCTCAGTCATGGTGTTTGTAAGAGTGTCATTGCAGGGTTGCATCATATCAAATTGTTCTGTCTAAATATGTAGAGGTGAAATATTGATTGATATCTTAGACAATCTTTATCACACTTAAAACAACGTACATTGTAGTTTTATAATATTGTTTATAATGTATTTGAATAACATGTAGTGAGTATAATATTTCCAATGTATCTATTGTCTGTTTAACAGGTTCCGGCCTGGGCAGGCAGGAGAATGGCCGTAGTGATCCCATAAAGGTCACCCTCAAAATGGACAAAACAGGGGTATTTAAGCAACTCTTGTTTGTTGTTTTATTGAATAAATTTAATAATAGAAAGCTGTCAACTGGAGGAAGGGGAGTGGGGGGTATTAAAGTGAAACATGGAACTTTGCATACAAATGAATCAAGGACAATATGCAGATCAGCTATAAAACATCTAATGACCTTGGAACAGTGATGTCAGAACCTGGGGGTTCAGGCATCTTTTGGGGATCCCCCTCTGTCTACTATAAAATTTTCAAGGGCACCTCTTAACCGTGTAAAAAAGTTCTCTTTATATTATTGCTTATACTTTCTTATTATTTCTGATATTTATTTTATTTATTTGGCATTCGGCACACAACAATTATTATTATGTACTTAAACAAGGGGCTTAGGCCCCTTTGAGGTGTGCACCCTAGCAAATTTATAAAGGGGCTGACCATTTAAAAGTTGTTTTGGTCAGTTTGCCACAGAGAACAGTATTATGAAATAATAAAATTATAAGATATCAATATGAATACATAATTTGTTAAAAATCTTGTGTGTTTTTGTTTCCAGCCCAGTAATATGTTGTGGGGGGGGGGGGGGGTAAATGTAATCATACTCACCATGTCTACACACTGCAGTTGTAGCCAGTACAAAACCTGTTGTACAGGTGTCCAAAGACATCATGTGAACCAAAACCCATCAAAACTGGGGAGGGTGGCTTTCTCGGGGCAAAAGAGCTTAGTAGATGTTTATAGCTGTATGGTCTCTCAACAAGTTTAACATATTTCACTGTAGTCCTTTGTGATCTCCATATGTTTCTGGTTAAATATGTTTTAACTTTTGCAGCTGTTTGACCTCAAAAACATGTTTTATATGAAACCGAAATTTCAAGTGATGAATTAGGCTCTTGGGGTTTTCCTCTGTTCTGAAGCTAAAGAGGAGGAAGCTAGGATTTCCACTGGTCAGAAGAGTTTAAAACAACAACCCCAAATAATGTAAAGTTCTAGTATTTCCCTTGCTGCGCATTATCTACTCTGGTACAGTTCTTTCTTTATTCACAAGAAACGTGCCCTTTTAGGATGTCTCCCAGGGAAGTGAAGGGAAATCTTGGTCAGTTTAAGTTTTAGCCCCTGCATCTGAGCCTCCAAACTTCATGTTAACAGATGTAAAGTTTAAGGTGGTCCTATAATAATTATTACTGTTGGAATGTGAGGTATGCATATTCTAAGTCATGGGATATATTTAGTTGGTCATTTCCCTTTGTTGTTGCCTTTCCTTCTCATAAAATAGTTTGCTACCCATTTTTATGATTCTGGTTCTACCCCATAGTCATACTAGTTGGCAGAATAATTCTACCCCTGTTGGCATTTGAACTCGGCTCACTGAGTTGGCAGCCATGCACACTAACTGCTGTGCCACCACCGATATTCTCAGAAATCTTCTTCTTCGCGTTTACCAGCTGCACACTGGTGGAAAGTTCTGGTTGTTCGAGTGTTGCGCGTGCATCAGTTTTACAGATCTGATTCACTTGAATGCAGACTGTTGGTTCCTTGCCTCTCAGACAGATGCACTCCGACTTCAAAGGAAGCTCCCCAATTACTCGACTCTTACGACATGCTTTTGGGTAGGCAGTGGGTCTATTTTTGTTTTCCCTGTAATAGGACCCCGGAACCCACACGGGGAATTCTCAGAAATGTAGATGATGTTTTGTATTTTAGGTTGGCCATGACCCTGCGAAAGAATTTACAGATCACTGGTGGTTGAGAGTGTTTAATGAGGCAGCTCAGAAGATTGGCAAGAAGCAGGTAAATCTAATCACTGTCTGTCCTCATTCTATTGTTTTATCTGAGCTAATCACTGTCTGATCTTATTTATCGTCTTGTAAGATGTATGTTGTGTTGAGACATCACCAACAGCTGATGTTGAGTATAAATAAAGACATCACCAACAGCGAATGTTGAGTGTTGCATAAAGACATCACCAACAGTGGATGTTGAGTGTTGCATAAAGACATCACCAACTGCTGATGCTGTGTGTTCTATAAAGACATCACCAACTGCTGATGATGTGTGTTCTATAAAGACATCACCAACTGCTGAGGCTGTGTGTTCTATAAAGACCACCAACAGTAAATGTTGTATAAAGACATCACAACAGCAGATGGTGTGTAAAGATGTATTCAACAGCAGATTTTGTGTGAAAGTAGATCCAACAGCAGATGTGTGAAGACATTGCCAGCATCTAATATTGTGTAAAAGCATCACCAACATCTGATGTTGTGTAGAGACATCATCAACAGCTGATGATGTATGTTATGTAAAGACATCCAGCAGCATCTGATGTTCTGTAAAGACATCACCAACATCTGATGTTGTATAAAGACATTGTCAACAGCTAATGCTGTATGTTATGTAGACATTGTCAATAGCTGAAGCTGTATGTTGTGTAAAGACATCATCAACAGCTGATGATGTCTGTTGCGTAAAGACATTACCAACAGCAGATGTTGTATGTTGGGTAAAGACAACACCAACAGTATAAACATAACCAACAGGTAGTGTTGTGTCCTGAGTGTGTGCAGCACTGTCTTCTATCATTCATGTGGCTGTTGACAGTTATGCACATTAAACATAAGTACCATCTGGTTTTATAACGCATTACTCAATTGGACACACATTGTTTGTTAAATATTAATTGTTGTTTAATGTAAGCAACATATCACATTTGGTGCTAGTTTTCAATAGTGTAAATACAATGAGCATTTGTTAATGTGTGTGTTTTTATTTTTTTCAAAGCAGTGTTGTATTTCTTTCACTGCACTCGCCCATATAAGGGCAGATAGTACGTTTTTGTGTGGGCTACAGCTCAACACATCAGATTTCAGCAACCCCTTATTCTTATTATTCCTCTTAAAGTCCATGCAGTGTGGCATAGGTAGTCATGTCTATCCACAACCTTCTGTCTCCTGTACTTTCAGTCAACCCTTGACGCCGATGTTCCTCGATGTCAGATTGTTCAGCATCTTTTATCTCAGTTTTCCTCTGCCTCTCCTCCCCCTCAACTTTCCTACTGTCACGATGTACTCCAGTTTTCTCCTTCTCATCATATGGCCAAAGAATGAATGTAGATGTCTCTTTCTGATGTGGGCAATCAGTTCTCTTCTTTAGTCAGTTTCTTTTAAGACGTCTTTATTACTCTTTTTTTTCTGTCCAGTGTATTCTCATCATTCATCTATAAAACCTTGTCTCTGCAGCTTCTAAATAATTTTTCACTAATCTACCAACTGTCCATGATTCACTTCCATATATTAAGATAGTATCTATATAGCTTTAAAACCCCTTATTATTTGTTTTTAAAACATGCTTATTAAGGGGCAGTATGTAAAAAACCCATCTGTGGAAATCTGGTATTTTATTTTTCAGTTACTGGCTTATGTTACTCTGAAGAAGTAGGTGGTAGAAGGGTAGCCTGTGGAGAAAAAGCCAGCTCGTTTGCGGGCCAGTTCTTAACCTTTTGAAATAAAGTTAGTTCTTTTACTGCAGCACAGCAAGCGGATGCTGGAGGTCCCGGTTTCAAACCTGGTAAAGGCTGGGATTTTTCTCACATGGACTTCTGATAATTTCCCCTGGTCTCTGGGTAGTAAGACCGGAATATTGTTGTGTTGTTTATTGTTGTGCATGTAAAAAATACCCTGGCAGTTGGAAATCGAAAAAAGATTAGCCTAATGGCGCTACCCGGGCAAACTTTGGAGTTAAAAATCTACTATTTCAGGATCCTCGTCGGTGCAATGGTGTTCATGCACTGTGCTGAGATTCTTCAGATTCCGGCTTTAGTTAGTAGAATGAAGCACTTATGGCTACACCCATGTGCCATGATGTTCATCCATTTAATAAACATAAACAGCAAGCAGGCTAGTTTTCTGTTTTTATTTGTGTCCTCAAATAAATTAAAACTCTTGACTTCACTTATGTCTCTAAATTGCTTTGACTTGCAGTCAAATCATGTTACCAACTTCTTCTTATTTAATGTTACTGTTGTTATGTTACATCTTCTTCTTAAAGTTCACCGACTATAAACTCCAGCAGATTGCTCGCTTTCTGGGCTTTATTTTTTCTTTGCCTCTCAGGCAAAATAAACCAAATTAGTTGTCTTAACATGCTTGTTGGGGAAGGAGGCAGTTGGTCTATCCCCCCACCCCGGGACCCTAGAAACCGGGGGGGGGGGGGGGGGGGGGGTTACATAAGCAACCATTATCCTATCTCATTTTAGTAGTGTGAGAGGGCATCTGTCGCTAAGCTTGTATGCGCCTCCAAGTTTGCTTAGTATGATGCTCCTAGCAGGTTTTACAGGAGAGATTTAGCAGTATGGGATAAAAGTAAGCGCAGTGAAGCGAGCCTTCTCAACTTTAAACTCTAGTTTAGTATTGTGAGCACAGTTCACAGTAGGCAATGCTAGTCTTCATAGAATTGCATTTAAAAAAGAGTACTGTATCTGTTTTGTTTTTTTTGGTCTTTATTGCACATTGTTTATATAATGCTAAGCTTGTTTTTTTTAAATAGTGTCCGACATCATGCTGGCGGCCTTTACTTCCCAGGACTTTTACCTGGCCCCCTTTTTAGAGTTGATCTAGGTGCCAAATCCATATTTAAAAAGAGGTCAAAAGTTGATGCAGTTTCAAACTCAAGACCTTTGGAAGTGAGTGTCTTAGCCACTGCACCACTGTGACATCCATATTAATATAGACTAATAAAAAAAAATCGCTTTAACCAAGTATGCATAATTTGAATACTTTGTAAACCTACATTGGGCTAATGTATTTTTCAGAAGGATGATACCAACTCAAAGAGTGATGGTGGGAAGAATAAGAACCAAGGGACTGACATGAAGAATAATTTTTATAAGGGTTTTGTAAAGGTAGGGACTTTCTAATGTAGTAGTTGTATCCGTTTTACACCCCCCCCCCCCCCTTTTTTTTTTTCAAATCCTTTCCCTTTCTTTGGCTTCTTATGGTCAAATTTCAGAGAATTCTAACAATGCATTTCTTTTTAACAATATTTTGAAAAAGGTAAATTCCCAGGTGGGTCCATGGGACCCACCTGGGAATGATTTCTCATTTCAGACTGCTAGGACAAACTGCCAATAAGACTGCTTATTTGCCCAAACAAATCAAGGCTTATACAATTGGCACACTATATTTGGGAGTCACAATCTGCAACCTATGAATACACGCCAGGATGTCACATGTTATTGTAGCACAGTTAAAATAATTGATTGACTTGCCAATCTACAAGTTTATTCTTGATTCATAGTTGAGAAATGGTTTGTTGTTTTGTGTGTATGTGGCACTAATGATGAGACAAATTATTTAACTCGCACCTGAACAAATTTCACCAAGTCTCACATGGTGGTGTTTTCTTTGCAAAAATGATTTCACAATTGTCAGACATCACTGTTTTGAGTGACCAGATTACTTAAATTGTCCCAGGGATAGGTCTTTGTTATGAACTAAGGAAGCTCATCCCAACCGAAAAACCTGCTAACGTGGGAAGTGTCAGGCCAAAAGTGGCAGATAATCCACAAAGGTGTCACAGCTGAGCCTAAAAACTATGGTACCATGCATGCAGATCCTCTGTGGAAATGGGATAATGAAAAGAAGGGTGACCACCTCTTATCTGAGAAAATTATATTTATCAAAACCAGAAAAAAGGGGAACTCTGTGGAGCAACATAACTAATTTATTTTAACCAAAAAATCACCACATGGCACCATCAGAAGCTTGGATGAAACTGAATCGATAACAGAAATAGGCACTTCAGAAATGCTTTCGAAATTTAGGCTATCCTCCTACTAGCGGTCGGTAAAGACGGCGGCCGCAAAATATACTTTCAAGCCAGTCATGTGTCAATTGCGCCGGCGACCACCGCCACATACCCCTCACGCGGCGTGGGATGGGGCTAAACTAGATGGCTAGGACACACGGGCAGCAGCCACGGTGTGCTCGTGACCGCTAGTGCGCAATTGACACGTGACTGGCTCGAAAGGATATTTTGCGGCCGCCATCTTAACCGGCCGTTAGTTGGAGGATAGCTGAAATTTACATTGAGTATGTCTTGAGAGTGCGGTAACATTCTCTTGCCCATCAGCCCAAAAGTCTTGTATTTGAACCTGCATTGTGTGGATTTAAAAAAAATTATCTTGGCTCCAATCCTGACTCACCAAAAATTGATATCAGGAAATGTCCAGGAAGATTAAGGTGGCAGGTGTGATGTTGACCACATACCCATTGGGGGGGGGGCATTATTAAGAGTCGCTGAAAAATATTGATTCTATTAGCTAGATTATTCGCTAGATTATTGGTTGAACGAGTTGATTATTGATTGCATACGTATTCTTGTGTTGATCATTGCTGATTGTATATATCAATACAACCATTGGAACTTAACGCATAGCGTCCGAGCTCTACATTTTGAAAGCGTTGAAGTAACTACTGTTTTATCCCGGCTTGGCCCCCATTGATACGTGCGGTCCTTCATTGTGACGTGCAGAGCTTCGTGCTGATGTGTGTGGTATCAAGATGAAATAGGCCAAGTAGGGGTAAAACAGTAGTTACTTCAACGCTTTCAAAATGTAGAGCTCGGACGCTATGCGTTAAGTTCCAATGGTTGTATTGATATATACAATCAGCAATGATCAACACAAGAATACGTATGCAATCAATAATCAACTCGTTCAACCAAAGCTCACTCGTACATCCATGTATTGATATGTCCTCACGATAGGTCGCAGTCCGACCTTGAGATCATGACAATCATCTTGGTCCTCGGACAAGTCCGAATTAAGCAAGGAAAGTATACCGGCATACTGCCGAGAATGTAGTGCTCACCAGCTTCCTGCTGAGGTCTTGGAGTCCCGGGGTAAAACGTCCTCAAGGATCCAACTTTATATAACGTTTGCTTCCGTGGGATCCCGGGGTAAAGCGTCCTCAAGGATTCCCACGTCCGTCTCCTTCGGACTATAAACATCAACTGCTTTTGACAACAACAATATCATAACAACGTTACGTATTGTTTTGACGTCTTATTTGCTCACTCCGTACTGGTGCGTTCTGGTGCACATTCGCACGCGACAGGGGGGGGGGGGGGCATTATTAAGAGTCGCTGAAAAATATTGATTCTATTAGCTAGTAACCATTAAAGCTGGCTAGTAACCATAAAGTTATATGTGTATGTGTGTGTATAAACACACACACACATACAGTTTATAATGTGATCGATCACCATTGAGGCAACTGATCATATGATTTCTACCTTTTTGTTTTCTCAGAGTGCAACATTGACAGATGGCATTGAAGAGAAGCACAAACAGTCAGATTCCAGCAATGAAGACTCATCAGATGAAGACAGTACCACCAGGTCAGTGAAGGATTTGTTTGTGTAAATATTTGACTTCTTTTGCTTCTTTGAATTTGATTATGTGCACTTATTTCACTGTCCGTGCTAGTGGTTTTCTGATAGCTACAGGCCTCTGTGAAGGCTTTGATGCGTCACATGTCCTTCACTGATCTATACAGCTTGGTTGCGGCCAGAATGCAAACTGTTCAGACCTGGAATCTATCTCCCGCAGTGGTTCTCAATCTTTCTAATGAGGCCACCCTTGAATACAGTTCCTCATGTTCTGGTGAACCCAACCATACAATTATTTTTGTTGCTAAGTCATAACTTCAGTGAATGTGTGTTTTCTTCTGGTCTTAGGTGACCTCTGTGTGAAAGAGTCGATTGACACCCAAAGGGGTCGCTACCCACAGATTGAGAACCGCTGGTGTGCTGCATGTAGATAGCATATGTTCAGTATTCTGGGGTGCCTGACCACATGGGCAGAGTTATTCTGTATACTGTTTGAGCATTTGTTCTTTATATTCCCTGGGCGTCATCTCTAGAGTCAGTTTACTCCATTTTCTTTCTCTTTTTCCAAAGGATTCATTCCACATGCTTTTAGTCTGTGATCAGCAGTCTTCAGTACTTGTCAGCTAACTGTTGCAGGACCTGGTACTAAAAAAAAAGAGTAATAAGTAGTTTTTATTTTTAAATAGTTCTCTTGATTTCTCAGATACTTTACATTGTGTTGATCTCCATGTCATGAGAAGGAGAAAACTGGAGTACTTCATGGTCATGAGAAAATTGGAAGCGAAAAGAGGAAGAGAGAGAGAGAGAAGAGATGCTCGACAGTTACACATCATGCAGTGGAAGACCATCTCTAGTACATGAGACTGTGGATAAACATGACTATCAATGCCACACGGCATAGACAGTATGTAGAAAAAGGAATGTGTTTATCTCTTGAGTGAGAAGTGGCTGGCAAAGTACCCAGAGGTCTGTATGGGGAACCTAGTTTCAATACTCTGTAAGGGATGGAGATTTTTTTCTTTAAGGGGCCAAAATAAAAATCTATGTGCAGTTTGTGATGGCTGTGTTGGCTTTGCAACCTCAAATCTTCTGGCTCATAACATCCCTGTCCTACACTTCTTCTTTTTCGCGTTCACCAGCTGTACACTCTGTCGTAAAGTTCTGGTTGTTCGTCCACTTCTGGACTGCAGTCCTGCTCCAGAACCTGAGTGTTGCATGTGCATGTTTTACAGATCTGATTCAATTGAATGTAGACTGCTGGTTCCTTGCCTCTCAGGCAGATGCACTCCGACTTTAAAGGAAGCTCCCCAGTTAGTCGACTCTTACGACATGCTTTTGGGGAGGCAGTGGGTCTATTCTTGTTTTCCCCACAATAGGGCCCCGGAACCAACACGGGGATGTGTCCTACACTGCCCTAAAAAAAAGGTTTTAAAGACATTTTTTTTTCTTCAAATATCTTTTTTTTTTTTTTTTTTTAATTAGTTTTTGCTTGAACACATTTATCAGCAAATGGTGATGTGACTATATGTATGCATCTAAAAACATTTACCTAAACATGGAGGATGGTAGATTCCCTTAAACATTCTCTATCATACATGGAGGATGGTAGATTCCCTAAAACATTCTCTATCATACATGGAGGATGGTAGATTCCCTAAAACATTCTCTATGATACATGGAGGATGGTAGATTCCCTTAAACATTCTCTATCATACATGGAGGATGGTAGATTCCCTTAAACATTCTCTATCATACATGGAGGAAAGTAGATTCCCTAAAACATTCTCTATGATACATGGAGGATAGTAGATTCCCTAAAACATTCTCTATGATACATGGAGGATGGTAGATTCCCTAAAACGTTCTCTATCATACATGGAGGAAGGTAGATTCCCTAAAACATTCTCTATAATACATGGAGGATGGTAGATTCCCTAAAACATTCTCTATCATACATGGACTATGGTAGATTCCCTAAAACATTTTCTATCATACATGGACTATGGTAGATTCCCTAAAACATTCTCTATCATACATGGAGGATGGTAGATTCCCTAAAACATTATCTATCATACATGGAGGATGGTAGATTCCCTAAAACATTCTCTATCATACATGGAGGATGGTAGATTCCCTAAAACATTCTCTATCATACATGGAGGATAGTAGATTCCCTAAAACGTTCTCTATGATACATGGAGGATGGTAGATTCCCTAAAACATTCTCTATGATACATGGAGGATGGTAGATTCCCTAAAACATTCTCTATGATACATGGAGGATGGTAGATTCCCTAAAACATTCTCTATCATACATGGAGGATGGTAGATTCCCTAAAACATTCTCTATCATACATGGAGGATGGTAGATTCCCTAAAACATTATCTATCATACATGGAGGATGGTAGATTCCTTAAAACATTCTCTATCATACATGGAGGATGGTAGATTCCCTAAAACATTTTCTATGATACATGGAGGATGGTAGATTCCCTAAAACATTCTCTATGATGAATTACAGATGGATAGATGTCAAGGTTGGCCTCTGCTTTAATATACTGATGTGTGCAAGAGGGATAAAAATGAAACAAGCATTGACATAGGTTTGCATGAATGAAATGCCATGGACTGTATTGCGGGGAAGGGGAAAATGAGGAAGGGAATGAAGTATAAAAAAAAAGATGATTGCAGAAAGAGTGAAGCCTGAGAAGAAGCACGCTAAAAACATGTGATGGCAACAACGGTCTTGAAATCCCATGATGTAATTGTGGAAGACATCTTAACTGTTTCGGTCCCAGGGAATGCATCATACGTTGATAGGTTCCCTCTAAAAAGCCCAATGAACTCAGGATGCGCAAATTTTACGTGTGTCTTGACTACCCCTTTGGACCTCTGATGCTAAGTCCCCTGGCACTCAAAGAGCCAACACAGGCGGGTCTTGCTAGTCACACTCGCCATCGCCTGTGATCCCCATAGCACAACTTTAACAATATCATTTGGAAAGACAAAGAGGTGTCAATAAATTTATTCTAATTAAAAATGTTATGTATGATTTTGGATGTTGCCGTGGCTTTGGTGACAAGACGCCTGCCTGAGGATCAGAAGGTCTTTGGTTCGCGTCCTGACAGAGCCAGACTTTTTTCAAAAATGATCCTGACTCCCAGGTTGGCCCAGCTTTAAGCGGGTACCAAGTGCAGTCCTGAGGCGGCCAGCATGATGCTGACCACATCGCCATTCCAAGTGCTGATTGGTCTAGACCTATATTCCCAATTTGCCTAAAGGCATGGAAAAAGGGGACCATTACTTACTTGACTATTTGATTGTATGTATTGTTAGTCAAGTTTATGTATTGTTAGTCAAGTTTATGTATTGTTAGTCAAGTTTATGTATTGTTAGTCAAGTTTATGTATTGTTAGTCAAGTTTATGTATTGTTAGTCAAGTTTATGTATTGTTAGTCAAGTTTATGTATTGTTAGTCAAGTTTTTGTATTGTTAGTCAAGTTTATGTATTGTTAGTCAAGTTTATGTATTGTTAGTCAAGTTTTTGTATTGTTAGTCAAGTTTATGTATTGTTAGTCAAGTTTATATATTGTTAGTCAAGTTTATATATTGTTAGTCAAGTTTATGTATTGTTAGTCAAGTTTTTGTATTGTTAGTCAAGTTTATGTATTGTTAGTCAAGTTTATATATTGTTAGTCAAGTTTATGTATTGTTAGTCAAGTTTATGTATTGTTAGTCAAGTTTATGTATTGTTAGTCAAGTTTATGTATTGTTAGTCAAGTTTATATATTGTTAGTCAAGTTTATATATTGTTAGTCAAGTTTATATATTGTTAGTCAAGTTTATATATTGTTAGTCAAGTTTATGTATTGTTAGTCAAGTTTATGTATTGTTAGTCAAGTTTATATATTGTTAGTCAAGTTTATATATTGTTAGTCAAGTTTATATATTGTTAGTCAAGTTTATGTATTGTTAGTCAAGTTTATATATTGTTAGTCAAGTTTATATATTGTTAGTCAAGTTTATATATTGTTAGTCAAGTTTATGTATTGTTAGTCAAGTTTATGTATTGTTAGTCAAGTTTTTGTATTGTTAGTCAAGTTTATGTATTGTTAGTCAAGTTTATGTATTGTTAGTCAAGTTTATGTATTGTTAGTCAAGTTTATATATTGTTAGTCAAGTTTATGTATTGTTAGTCAAGTTTATATATTGTTAGTCAAGTTTATATATTGTTAGTCAAGTTTATTTAATGACTTTTGTTTGATATTTGTTCTTTGTAGCAGTCTTCCGACCTTGAATGACATTCATACATTTTGTGGAGGAGCTACTGGACACAAGTATGTGCTTTTCCAGTTTTGTCTTCAAATATTTTACCCTCTCCACAAACTCTGTGTTAGGTGGGTACAGAGAACTGTTTAAACCTTTTGTATTACGAGGGTTATCATGATACTGAGGTCCCACTGTCTTCCGTGGTGCAGCCACCAGATGCCACCATCTGAAGGCCAAATGAAGTCTTTTTCCACACGGCCTGTCACAGAAATCAAACATTGAGGACGGGATTTCTAAACCTTTAAATCAGCAATTCTCAGCCTGTGAGTTGTGCCACCTTTGGCTGTCGAATGTCAGTTTCACAGGGGTCACCTAAGACCATCGGAAAACATATTTGTGATGGTCTTAGGAACAGAGACACAGCTCCTCTGTCTGTCTTCAGGCTGGTCCGCCCACATGCAGATCTATCTACATATGAGTACCCGGCATGATGATGTGCTTATGCGGACCTGTCATACGTGTGTAGAGGGCAGCAGTATTGGAGGTCAAACAACATTTCATGAATTATAATTACTGGGTAAATGTAAAATCATCAACTACTGCAAAAAATATCTGTACCATAGGATTTTAGTCTGGATGCTGATCAAACTTTTTATATCCAGCTGTGGTTGATATGATTGATTACTGTCCCCTTGTGAAAGCAGCAGGTTTAAAAGACAAAAACACGGAATGGTAAATCATAGGAAACTCTAATGAACTGTTTTGACTGAACTGTGCCAAATATCCTCTTTAGTGTCATGGGGGTTGGGGGGGGGGCTGAGTGGTCTCGAGGCATTGCGTCAGCCTTGAGTACTGGAAGTCCCCAGTTCAGGCACTGGTGAAGGCTGGAATTTTTTTGCGTGGACTTCTAGTAATTTACCCTGGTCTCTAGGTAGTAAGATAAGATGCCCTTGTATATTGTTGTGCGTAAAAAAAATTCCTTGGCAGTTGGAAATCAAAAAGAGTAGCCTAACGATGCTGCTGCCCGGGCAAAAATTTGGAGTTAAAAATCTACCCAAAGTATTTCAGGATCCCTGCCGGTGTTACGGAGTGTGTGCACTGCGTTGAGATTCTTTGAACTAAGGTTTGAGTTAAAAGTAGAACAGAGCACTTATGGGTTACCACCCTTGTGCCTTGATGTTGATCCTTTGTATAAACCCAACCAGTCTTTATTCTAGGAAACTACAGTGTAAGCGTTGTTTGAAAAGTTCCATTTTGCCCAAACAGCGGTGTCATCGTCAGTCGTGTATCCCTTACATTTTGCTTGGCACACGGCTTCGTACTAGTTTCTAATGTTTGGAGGTACGATTAAACTATTCAGGGAAAGTCACTCTTTTGAAATCCTTTTAGTTTTATTTCCTGGACTAAACCACACGTGGATAATTTGAGAGAAGAAAACAGCGAACTGTTTTTCAACAGTTTATTCCCTAAGTTAGTTTTTGAGTGCCATGAATACCAATGTTCCAACAAGTACAAGTTGCAGAATGCGTCTTTCTGCAGCCGAAGCTCTGAAATAATTTTAGTCAGATGTTTTTAATTGTGATAATGATAATAAAAAAATTTTTAGGGAAGTGAATTTTCACCAGTGAAGTTGAGCGATCAGCTGTTCGGAATCTAGCGATTCTGATGAGTTTATTACACAGACAATGTCCCATACTACCATATTTATGATGTAAGAGTAGGAAAGTGTTCTAAACAAAGAGACAGTATACTATACTATGGCTAAGTTACATTGAAATCACCATCGCAGCTACAGTTTGTAAATAACTGTACAAAGTAAATAGTAAATAGCGTGTGTGTAATGCCTAATTTTTCTGCCACTTTTTCTCTGAAATTTTGCTTAGCACTCGGTGAGAACTAAGAACCCCTGAGTGCTAAATTAACCCAGAAAGTTATCAGAACTTTAGAATGAATTTGTTAGGAAATTGAACAAACTGTGAAGTTTTGTTCTCAAATTTGGATATTTACTACTCTTGTGGCTGCAAAACCATGGTAAATGAAGCATTATTGTGTGAAATGTTGTTCTTGTGAAATTAACACCTGCTGAATTCTTCTTTCCCACTAACTATAACAAAATTAAACAAACACTTATCAGATTCAAAATATACATTCATTTCTCTTTTAACCCTTTCGCTGCTGCGCCCAACGCAGGCCAACGTAACCACTGTGCTGAGCCAGGCGAGAGCTAATCTTTCTCCCTGTGCTGAATACCTTTCTCGCCTCCAAAAGCAGAAGACGCTCTTGCGGCGCGGGGTAAAAATTGTACACCTAAAATAAAAACTCTTTTGAAGCGCATGGTTGACCTTTGCGCTGACAAGTCGGACGCGCTTGGGCTACGCCATAAAAACTCATTAAATAGAAATACTTCAAACTTACAAAGCAAATACAAAACACTTTGTAAGCAGATACATGTTCTTTTTATTATTATTAATATCTTTTTGTGTGAAATATTTCAAAATAAGGTGCGACACACAGTACCAAATCACAGTCCTTGAACATGTATCTGGGTTTCCCGTCGTTTTTTGCTTTCTGCGCATACCACACACTTTCTTGTTGGGAATTTCTTCTGTGATGTTACAGACTCTATTTTTGAAGGGTACTGCCTTTCTTTGTACTAAACGAAGTGGCAGATCTTCACTTTTTTTGTCCTCGTACATTTGTTCTCTTTTCCTTGCAATATTTATGAAGACTTTCTCTTACTAACATTAAGTGAAATTGGGCAACAGGAGTGTTTTTGCACACAAATGAACAGTTTACCAACCATGCTTCACAAAGCAACAGGATAACATGTAACACATCTAAATGCACGTGACATAATGTTTAATTAATTAATACTTCTGTGATCTGTTGCCGAAAGAGCTAAGAGCTCAAATTTAGAATTTACATTTAAAATTATAATAATTAAAAAAAATACGGCATGCAGGAATTGAACGCGTACCCTTCGATTACAAGGCAAGCGTGATATCAACTACGCTAGAAGTTTATATGTAAATTGGTACCGAAAATAGGACTAGTATTGTACACTTTGATAGACAAGACACAGTTTTGTCAGTTGTATAGTATATTAGAAACATTAGTATTAATTATCATGTCAGTACGTGACCATATCTTCATTTTGATTATTGGTGATTCATTTCAAATCCAGTCAATGTAGATAGCTGGGTCATATGGTCTGTCTTGCTCACGGCTAGAAGTACACGTGTCCGACGGCGTGCCGCGAAGATAGCCCAGCTCATATAACTCAAACGTTTCAAAGTTATCCTTACTATTACTCCTCGAAACAAACTCCACTAATTCTTCATTAACTATAATTAACAAATTTTCTTGTTATTTTGTATTTAAAAAAAGTAGACTAACGCAAAACCAGAAACATATTTTAGGGCAAAAAAGTTACGTTCACCGACCATGCTTCTATGGTAACAAAGCAACAGGATAGCGTGAAATGCATCTAAATACGGCTAAACACACCTGATAAGGGTTTTAATTGTATGTAAATGGGTCAGTTTGATCAGATTTGGGTAATGTATATTTCCAGTTCACCCCCAAGAATTACTGTCCTTAGCAGTCTGTAAGAAAAGTCGAGGACGAGATATCTCGTCCTTAGCACTGAGGGCACAGAAAATGGAAGACGAGTTAACTCGTCCTTAGCAGTCTACCGGGTAGACGAGTTATCTCGTCCATAGCAGCGAAAGGGTTAAAAAGTATATACTTTTATAGGGATTAGAAGTATATTACAATCTCTATAGCCTTTCTTGTACACCCACCCCTCTGCTATTTTTGTAAATGGAAATTAATGTGGGCCAAGTCTGTCAAAATTCATGGGCCTGAAAGAGTTAAAGCTATTGTTATATCATCATCATCAGGTGCCTTGCTGACTGGCGTGGGCGATCATGCCTCTCCATAATCCACGATCTCTTGCAGCATGTATCAGTTCGTGTGCCGACACACCTCCATGCCATGCAACAAGGCTGTCAAGAATTTTCTCCCGTTGTCTTCCTCTATCCCTCCTTCCACAGATCTTTCCAGTGGTCACAACATGTTCCATTTTCCCTATTTTCATAACATGGCCGAAAAATGATTAATGTCTCCTTCTGATGTCTGTGATAAGTTGTCTTCGGGCTCCCGCCTCTTTCAAAACCTCTTGGTTGTTTTATATATTGTTATGTATTATTTTCATTAGCAAACCATCCCATGACAATTGGGGGTGTAGAGAAGGACATTAAGAAAAAAAAATATAGTCAGGACTTTTTTTTAACAGTATGGTTTTACCTCAATAATTACTGAAGGAATTGTGAAACTGCAATGTGTTATTTGTTGTGAAGTTCAACCAGCCGAATCTGTGAAGCTGAATAAACTTGAACGCCATTTTGATAGCAAGCATCCAAGCTTTGCCGGCAAGGATGCGAACTGTTTTAGAAGCAAAGCAGCGGACTCACGAAAGCCAGACTTGACACTGGTGGCGAGTAACACAAACTAAATGATTGAAGCTTCATATTTGGTGGCACTCAGAATTGAAAGAGCTATAAAACCTCACCATTGCTGAGGATTTACTGTTGCCAGCGGCCAAAAAAATTGCTTGAGTTATGATTGGAGACGAATTTGTTACAAAACTGAGTTACATTTTCTTATCTAGCGATACTGTCCGCAGAAGAATAAATGACATGTCTGCTAAAATTCTTGATCAGGTAATCCAGGAAATTAAATCTGCTCCACTTCCAGTATTTAGTTTCCAGCTGGGTGTATCTACAGACGTTGCAAACTGTTCAGTTACTGGTTTACGTGAGGTATAATAACGATGGCGCCTTAAAAGGTTTTTTTTTTTTTTTTTTTGCACACCTCTTGAAACGACTACTGCATGTGATGTATTTGACCAGCTGACTCATTTCTGCATAAGATTTCTTGGGAAAGGGTTTGTGGTGTTTGTACAGATGGTGCTCCAGCTATGCTAGGATGTCACCTGAGAGGCAAGGAATCAACAGTCTGCATACAAATAAGTCAGATCTGTAAAACTGATGTGCGCGCAGCATAGATGAATGAACAACTAGAAATTTCCGCCGGAATGTACAACCGATGAATGCTAAGAAGATGCTCCTATTTTTGTAGGCCAATCAGCACTCATTGGATGATGTGGTCAACATCATTCCAGCCGCTTTTACTTCCCAGGATTTTACCTGGTACTCGTCTTAGGTGAGTGGACCTGAGAACAAAGGTCAGTTCTGAAGAAAATCCACTCGCTGTGGATTTGAACCGAAGACTCTTGGGCCTAGCAGGCAAGCATCTAGCCTCTACACTACAACATCTTCCTGCATGATACATGATTAGTTCAGAACTTATAACCAAGCAGTTTTCTGATAAACCATCCTTTTGTTTTTTGGTAATTCTTGTTTAGCGTTGTCCCTTTAGCTTAGCGAGAAACACATATTTCACTTGTATTTGCAATATGACATTTCTAAGAGGTTTTTTTTTTCCCCTCTCGTCCCCAGGGCTGCTAGATTTGGCATAAAAATGGGTGGAAAGCTGGCAAGAATTGCAATACACGAGAAAATGTTCGAGGAGCAGCTAAAAACAAAAAAACTATTTGAAGCTGTGCAGGAGACAGACAGCTGTGGAAGTAACCATCTCCAAGACAAAGAAGAGGGGATGCCATCCCCCATTAGCATCGGATCTGTTCCTGAAAGTAGCATTGCTTCTGGAAATGGAAGAGACAAGAAGAAGAAAAAGAAACACAAGAAAAATTCCAAAGATGAAGATTCCATTTGTAATAGTCAGCCTCTTGATGGAGAGCTGATTAATGGCCAAGAAATTATTGTGGCTGGGGACAATGAACTGTCACAAACTGTCTGCAAGAAAAGCAAGAAACGGAAACACAAGAACAAGTCCAAAGATGAATGTCTTAAAGAGTCCATTAGTAACAGTCAATATTTTAACAAAGAGCTGACCAGCGGCCCAGAAATAATTGTGGACAGTGAACTGTCACAAACTGTCTGCAAGAAAAGCAAAAAACGGAAACACAAGAAGTCTAAAGATGAATATCCTGAAAATGCACTCAGTAACAGTCAGTATCTTAATAAAGAGCTGATCAGTGGCACAGAAAAGATGGTGGCTGTGGACAGTGAGCTATCACAAACTGTCTGCAAAAAAGGCAAAAAACGGAAACACAAGAAGAAGTCTAAAGATGAATGTCCTGAAAATGCCCTCAGTAACAGTCAGTGTCTCGATGAAGATTTGATTAGTGGGCTAGAAATTATTGTGGCTGTTAATGAGGAATTGTCAAAAAGTATCTGCAAGAAACATAAACGCAAACAGAAAAGGTATGCAAGTGATGATGAACGTGTAGCTACACAAGCTAGTGATTTATCTCATGCAAATAAAGACCAGAAAGACTCTGACAAAGTACGTGATAAAAAACGAAAACGACAACATGCAGCTGAAGAAGAAGGGATAGGTGAGAATAATTTAGCAGAGATAAAAATAAAGAGGAAGAAAAAGAACACAAAAGACAATATATGTGAGCTAGAGGAATCTGACAACAAAATTAAGAAGAAAAGGAAGAAAAACAAAATGTGATATGTGCATTTTTAGTACATAGTATCCCCATGTGGGTTCCGGGATTCCAGTTGTGGGGAAAACAAGAATAGATCCACTGCCTTCGAAGTCGGAGTGCATCTGCCCGAGCGGCAAGGAACAACCAACTGCACACAGATAAGTCAGTAAAACGGATGTGCATGCAAAACTCAGGCCCTGGTACAAAGCCAAGGTCCAAATGGATGAACATCTTGGACCTTCCTCCCGAGCTTACAGCTAGCTGGTGAACAAAGAAGAAGTACATAGTACATTTTTGTTTCTCATCATTTTGTTTGAACTGTCTCTTGCCAGTAGACGGCTATATAATGTTAATCATGCATTTTGTTACATCAGCAAAACACAACCGATTAGCTCTTTATGCTTGCTGTGATAATAGCCCTGTCATCAAATAATATGCTAGTTAATAACTCTTGCTGCATACAGTTGTTATTCTCAAGCAAATGCTTGAACATCAGGAGGTTACAGTAGCAGTCAAATGAAAAAGTTTCTTCCATTTTGTTATCGCTGTTAGATTTTGACTCAATAAATATCTCTCATCAGAGAAAGCTGGTCATATGGAATGCTTCATTCAGAATGACTGCTGAGGTTTCCAGAAGAGACAGCATACAAAATGAGTCATGTCTGAACAGCCTGCATACAAAAAAGCCACATCTTTAAAAGAGATATGCTCGCAAAACTCAAGTTCTGAAAGAGGACCAAAGTCCAGGTGTAGACATGTATAACTAGAACTTTCTGTCATTTATCACCGGTGAATGCAAATGAAAATAAGTAATCTGATTCAGAGTTTCTGTTGAGATTGGGAATCATAAGAGAGCTCATGAAAGAAATAAAAACAGATGAAATGTGATAGTCTTGTTAAAAGTTGGAACACTGTTTTAAAGCAGCCACACTACAGGGAAATGTTGAAGGCAGATGAGCAACAGCAGTAGAGTCTGGAAGGTAACATCAAGAGCAGAATGTACAACATGTTTAACTGCAGCCACCTACCTTGCGGAGGCAGCATCTAGTTTATTAATTGTTACCTGCCTGAATTGAGGTAAATATATTGTCAGAGATTTTCAGGTTGTTCAGTAATAGGACTACCAGTGATTTCCTGCTGCCAAGGGCGTTAATCCTTTCACCTCTAAAAAAAAATTACATTTTCGAAATTTCACTTTAAAAATCACGCCTTAATAAATAAATCTCATAAACTTTCCCCTAAGAAACTAGAGAAAGGGAAGGAGTGGAAGACATTTGGAGTCTTCCTCAAGTTTTCTTAAACATCCAGTGCATTGAAATCTATGACCACCTGACAGGCATGTTAGCGTGATGGCCACTGCAGATTGTGGTTGTCAGATCCTCATATAATTCCTGTTAAGTTTTTTCATTTACTTTTACATGCGAAACAAGTTTTCTTCTCTCGGGGAATTAATCGCCAAATACAAACAGGGTAGAGGGTTAACTGCTTTCCTTCCTCTTGTACCATAGTAAACTTGCTGTTTGTGCCACTCAGAGCAAAATGACCTGATGAGATTATTGTGATATAAACCTGAGCTATTCATCTAAGTTTGTTCAGGAGCTCTAATCTTTAAAATGGAAATCATCACTGGCTGGAGGCCCCAACATAGAATTATCACTAGTTTGGGTAGGGAACTTTTGGCACTTTCTACGCCTCTGTGGGCCATATGGACCTGGAAGCCTCCATTTGAATGGCCCTTAAAGGTGCAAATTGTTTTCACCCGAAATACATGTGTGTGTAAGAATAAACGTACCCGTCATGTCTACACAACTGCAACCAGTACCAAAGCTATTATACAGATGTGCTGGCCACTGCCGAAAGAATTTGTTATCATGTAGCAGGTCCTTTGCAGAACATTGCGGTCTGTCTGAAAGAAACACAGTCTCTCACCAGCTATCCCACCTCATGTACTTTCATATTCAAGGAGTCCCTTATATCATGTGCCCATCTTTGTGTTGGTGGACTCCTGCCCCTCCTTCCTGGTACCATGTCTTCTATTACTTTTTCCAATCCACTGTGGCGCTTGATATGACCAAAGTATTTCAGCTTTCGAGACAAGGTGCAATTAAAACCAGTCTTCCTTGATGTTGAGATGTTCATCAAATCTCATAAATGCTTGAAAACTTTGCTTTCTCTGGGTGGCAGGGTACACTGATTATAAAGTTTCTGACCAGCAAGTCTCTGATGTACAGATAAACAGACTAACACATACAAACTGGCACAGAGATAGGAGGACACAGTAGACAACATAAAAATAGAAAACTACATTTTCATACAAGGACTCGAACCTGTCACCTCTAAATGATTGCCACCTCACTGCGGCATCGTGTACTTCTGCTCATGGCAGTGAGCAGTTTTTGGGGGACAACAAATTATAATCCTGGTATGGTAACTAAAGATTTCTGTTGTGCCCTCCGATCTATGCAGGAGTCGCCGTGGTGTAGGGGCTTCCCTAACAGGCATGTCATAGGAGTCAACTAATTAGGTTTTTTTGTTTTTTTTTTCAAAGTCTGAGTGCATCTGCCTAATGGGCAAGAAACCAAAAGACTGCATACAAATAAGCCAGATCCATAAAACGGATGTGCACGTAAAACTCGCATCCTAAAACAAAGCCAAAGTCCAGAAAGGGAAAAAACAAGAACTTAATGCTGTAGTTTACAAACAGTGAGCGCAAACAATTCTAAAAATTGCCAGTTTAGATGTTCCAGCATCAAGCAATTTATTTCCGCAGAAATATATGACAATGAACATACAGATTTTGCATTTCTACCAAGTTTTCAAGCAACCACAATTTTTTTAATATTTTTATTTTCCCACAAGACTTTCATAAAATGTGTACCAAGTAAAATCCAGGAAAGAAAAGGAGGCCGGCAAGATCACTGACACGTCACCCATAATGTGCTGATTGGTCTTTAAAAATATGAATATAGTAGTAGCATCATATGACTGATGCACTAGTTCTTTAAAAAAGACTTTCAGCCAGGTTACTAGTGTCACATACAGTGGTGGCCGAAAGTTTAATACCACTAAGTAAATATTTGATATTTCCATACTATCTTACTGCAGCTTCTTTACATTATAAACTGAGATAACATAGATGACTGCAGTTTTTAGTGCTAATCAGTTATTTCAACGGTATCATCTCTGGATTTTATGTTTGCAAGAAAATAGCTAAAAACTGTCACTTTCCACCATTTCAAGAGCTGAAACAGTAACCTGGAGAACGGTAAACGGAACGTGACATTTCTGTTTGTACTGGCTTTAGCACTGGTGCTTTCACATTGCAAGAAACAAATACTAGTTGCTCAGTTATTATTTTTAACCAAAAGAGAAGTATATATCTCAGAAAAATAATCCCTAGAGATGACAAAGTAGTCAAATTGGAAGTTTTGGCCACCTGTATTATCATTGCCCAGTATGTTTCTAATGTTCATGGCCACCTCCGTGCTGGTCAGCTGTTTCTTCTCCCAGGACCATTTTCTTCCAGTACGTTCTTTCTGTCCGTGTCTGTGGCTTGGGCATTGCAAACACATTTTGTAATGCTGGGGTGCCGAGTTTGATCCCAGCTGCGGGTCTTGCATTGATTTCAACGTGGTATCGAGAAGCCGGCCGTCCAGAAAGCAATGGCAAACTACTGGATGTAAATCTGCCTAGAAAAACCACAACAGCCACACACAAAATTATAGGGTTGGTTCTGCAACATCCTGTAAAGGATACACAACTAACTAACTTCTTTCTACAGCATTGCAGTGTTTATTTAATATAGCTAAAATATTTCAGTTTCAAAGACACAATTCTATTTTCAAGCCAGCATTCTTCAAAATATACCCTAAAATGAATCAAGGTAATGGAAAGCAAAAGCAACTCGTATGATGTTGATCACATTACCCACCTAGTGTCGAATAATTTTTTTTAATGTGAGCATAGGATCGTATATATCTAGTTAACATCAGAGAAACTCTACAACAGCACGATGTGCCTATGGTTGAGGCGGCCAGAAGAGCTAGAAACAGAACCTTATCTCCCTCGACACCCACAGCGGTAAAAGAGGAAGTGAAGAAGAAGAAGATAGGATCGTATGCCTGACACACTACTGGCGTGAAAAGAGTACATAACATCTTTAACTGGAAATTCTATAAAATCCATTTTAGTTCTTGATCTAAAACAGTGGTCTCCATTTTTTTTAAACACCCCCCTCCCCCCCCCCCCAATGATAAATGTTTTAAAAAGAAGAGATTCTGCAACAAGAGAGACAGTATGGAGATACATTTTATTCACAATGTGTTCTTAATAACTAAATGCTTGTGTTATCATATTAATTAGATTTTTTACTGCACACACACACACATATATATATATATATATACACACACACATATACAAACTGCTTGTGAAAACAAACAAAAATTCATTGTCTTTTTGTGTTATAAATAGGTTTTACAAATATTTTATTATTTTATTTATAATCAAACAAACAAAATAATAAAACAGATTATTACAAATACATTAAATTTCAATACTGCTTGATGCCCCCCTTGAAACCACTAATCTATTCTAAAACATGGCACACACCAAGCAACAAGGTGTAAAGTTCACCCTAAAATTACAACAGAAAAACTAAGTTCATGATTTTTACAAGTAAAAAGCAGGTAAAATATTCAACAAAGCAACAACAGAATCAGCCGTAGACAACAATAAAGTAAACTAATTACAAAAAACATGGTCAAACTTTATAAGACAAAAGGATAATAACCTCTCGTAACAACAAATACTGATATTGCTATCTGAAACTTTACAATTGAGGAGCTGTTGAACTTTGGTCATCTAAGAGTTAGAATCAGACATGCACCAAAAACTTAACATCATGTGATGTTGACAAAGGTAGTACACAAGAATGCAATTTATGAGATTAAAACAATCGCCCAAAGCATGTCTTGAGAGAAATTAACTCACAAAGAGAACTGATGACCCACATTAGAAGGAG